ATTTTTGTTCAAGAGTAGTGAAGGAGTTCTTGAAGGATCTAAACAATTATTTTTTAATGATGAGCCAAAAGATTTTTGTTTAACCTATGAATTCGTTTTTACACACGTTTAACATTGTGCAAGCTGACCGTTTTGTAGAGCAAACACTTCTCTACAAACTGTGGTAATGAGCTAACAAGAGAATCTGTTCAGTTGCTCCCTCCCTATTTCAATGATTTGAGTTTCTATTGAGATTTAACAAAGTTATCGAATTATTAATGTCTATTTTCTAGAAACTCCATGTTTTCGAAGAATCGTATTTTCGAATTTTCATCTGAAACTTTGTGTATATAGAAAACTTTACTAGACTAATTTTCAAAAAAATTCAAAGTTTTGAAGCAAGCCTCTTCAAGATATGAAACTGTCAAGATATAGACCCTTTTGCATGGATATTGTATACAGCATGCATTTTTTGACAACTTCATATCTTCAGGTAACTTTGTTCATAACTTATGATTTTTTCGAAAATCTGAGATCCTACATAGATTTCTAGAAATTGGATATATTAACAATTCGATTATTTATTCAAAATGCAATAGAAATCCAAATTCTTTTAGAGTATAGTATGCATAGACTAAAAAAACTATTGAAGTCGGAATGGGGCAGTTGAAGAGATTCCCTTATAAGCAGTATCTTTTATTCAAGTCAGGCTACAAGCATTGTCTATCGAAGTACCTTGTCGAAAGACAGAAACTTCACATGGCGCATTTTGTCGGGTAGCTTCTCATCAATAGGCTGATATATAAATAAAGATTACAAGTTTTTTTTTTCGCATCATAATACTGAATATAAGAATATTTTCCATCCAAACTAATTCTTTAGGCTTTTTAAAGATTATTTTTATCACTCTCGAACAAAAACTGAGACAAAATTTTTAAGTTCATATTCAAAAAAAAAACACAACCTCATAGCTTTTGAACTTATCAAAAATACTCTGCAATAAGTCAAAAGTGTATAAGTATCGTCTTTAAAAACTTTTCTCAACCCTTGTTACATATATTTTCACTTTTCATCGATGATAAGAATCTTTGATTTCTTCTTATACTTTGTATCATACTCGTTGTAAAAGAGTATTGAAAGAATTATGTTTACCAAATTTTTTGATCTGTTTATTTCAATGTTGAAAACAACATAGTAATTTGCTTTAAATGCGATAATTTTTGTGAATATTTTAGGTATATTTAGTGCATAACATTAAAAACAACAACAAACAAATGCTTGAATGAACAAAATCGATAAAAGTAAAAACTCTCTAATCATCATCAATATTCATTCTTTGTCGGCGAACAAGTTCTCGATAAATTCCATTTTCAATTGTCATCAATTCATCATGTGTACCTTGTTCAATTAAATGTCCTTTATGTATAACAAATATTTTATCACAACGTTCTATTGTACTTAATCGATGTGCTGATATAAGTACAGTTCGAGGTTGTTGACTATCTTTCTTATAATATAATGCATCTTGAATCTATTAAAAACCGAAAAGAATATTTAAAAAAAATTATTTTTCAAAAAAAAAATAATAGTTACTAATCGTTCATTGACAGGATCTAATGCTGATGTTGCTTCATCTAAAACAAGTATAGTGGGCTTTCGAATAATAGCTCGAGCAATAGATATACGTTGTTTTTGGCCACCTATAATTAACAAAAAAAAGAAATCGAAAAGAAAATTAACTGAAAATAATTCAAACCTGATAAATGACCACCACGTTGTCCACATTTAGTATTATAACCATTAATAAGTTCACTAATAAATCCATGTGCATTAACTTGTTCAGCTGCTTGAATCATTATTGATTCGTCATTATTATTTAGAGCATAAGTAATATTTTCTTGGATAGTTCTATTAAATAAAATTGGTTCTTGTCCAACCATAGCTATTTTTTTATGAAGATATTTATGATCATATTCATGAATTTCACGACCATCAATTAAAATTTTTCCATGAGTAGGATCATAAAAACGTTCAAGTAAATTAACACATGTTGATTTTCCTAATAATAGAAAACAAAATGAAATACATATATACATCATTAAAAATGAAAAGATTTTATTACCAGAACCAGATGGTCCAACAAAAGCACATGTTTGACCTGATTTTATTTTAAATGACATATTCTTATAAAATAAGAAAAAAAAAAAAGAAAATTTTCCTTTTTTGATAAACATTAATCAATATACTTGAATAGCAATTTCATTTGGTCTTGCTGGATAACTAAGTGAAACATTATCAAATTCAATATCACCTTGTAATTCATGTGGTTGTATAATACCACTTGGCTTTTGCATTGGTTTACGATCTAAATAATCAAAAACTGATTGACTTGCACCAGCTGCTGTCATAAGTGATGTATAAATTTGTGAAATATCCTATGAAATATTTCATAATGATAATCTCTTTTTTTTGCTTTCAAATTATATATATTTACACTTAAAATTCCACCAAGTGTTAATTGATAAATAATAAATGCTAGTAAATCAGGTCCAGTTATATAATTATCACGTACAAGTTTTGCACCATATGAAAGCATGATAATACTCATACAAAGTTGTGCTAACTAATGAAAATGAAAAAAAACAAAAGAAAACTTATTATAGAAATTTTCTTTATAATAATTCAAAGTATCCTTCGACAGACGAGAGGGGAACACCTGAAAAACTGATTTTTGAATTTCAACTTGAAACTTTGTATCGAGACAGAATTTACCGAGAATAGATTTTTGTGAATATTTAAGATCTCATTGTTGTTTCTATTTTAAGATACAACTATAGTAATCGCGTCTTTTTACATGTCGCTTATGTCGATGCAATATTTTATGTCCTTATTTTAGGATAGAAACAAGTCAAAAGACCTGAAATTTTCACAAGAAACTATTTTCATTAAGACCTCATTCTGTGCAAATTTTCAAGTCGAAATTTCGAAAATTAGATTGTCTGGTGTTCCTAATGGGAACTATAGCATTTATTTAAGAACTATCATAAATTTAGAACATCCGCGCAACGATAAGTTAAGAACCTGAACTCTTTTCAGGACACTCAAAACTCATTTGGGTCTACGTGATGTACATATTCCCGACCCAAGAGCGACTCATCAGTTGATAGACTTCCGTCATGAGTATTTTGCGATTCAACCTGGATTTTCTACATCTTGAAGTCAAAAGTTAAATTTAAATAACACTGTGAAAAATAATAATATTCTATAAAATGAGGCTTTCGTAATCTAAATACGATGCTTCGTTGTCGATTAACATATAATTAAAAATCAAACTCGAACAAGTGACTTTTACTCCTTTCATCATTTTGATTTAGCTAAGTGAAAAAGCATTGTCGAATAGTTAAGATCTCATTTTATAGAGAACTAACTGTTCTATTATTTTGCCGTTTTTATATTTGATACGAATTGTTGAGTAGTTGAGATTTATATTGTCTACATATTCGTTTTGAGGAATTCAATACTAACGGTCTAAACCTTCACACACTTGCTTCATACCATATCAGTTATTTAAGATTGCCTCCCTCAAAATTTGACCTTGAACTACGTGCATTCAAATCGTATGAAGTGGAAAGACTATGCTAAAATTTTCAGCTTTATATCATGATGTTCGAGAGAGTTATTCAACAAAGATCAAAGATAGCTCATTTGTTATCTGTAGGCTCTCATTCTATAGATTCAAATTTTTTTATTTAAAAGAGCATGTCAGACTGCGATGCCTTTCTTTAAATTCTCACTTTTGACAGAGAGAAAAACCATGACAAGTTCAGTACCTCAAAAAATGGTCATCTATTTATAGAAGCACTTGCTTATATAATAAAAAAAGCTTAATTCAAAACAACGAGTACTGTAGCAATGAAAAACATATAAGCAAAGAAAAAATGAAGAAAAACTTCTTGCTTTTTTTCAAGCCAACAATGACGAAATTTTTTAGGAAAAAAACAAAGCGGCAAATAAGGAAAGTTTTCGATGCAAAATTTACTTATTTGAATAATTTTGTATATTATGTGACAATGACTTACGTCAACAAACCATTTTTGTGCTGAAGTTACAAGTGCTTGTATCCATGAAACTTGATATGATTGTCGAAGAGTATTTTCAAATCTTTTCAACTCTTCATCTTCATTTCCAAAACTCCGAACTGTTCGTATTGTTTGAATTGTTTCTTCAGCTATATCAAATGCTTCAGCTGATAAATCTTGAACTTTAGCTGCTATACGACCATGTGCATTACCACTGATTTTAGCAACAATTAAAATAAGAGGAGCACCAATAAGACAAGCTATTGTTAAATGAATACTTAATTTAATCATCATAAATAATGTACCAACTAGTGAGAAAAACAACATTATTTCTTTTTTTAATAAAGTATGAGTTTGTTTTTTTTTCGTTTCAAACTTACTAAATCTAATAAGTGCACCAATGCATTGTCCTATATTATTAGCAACTATTGAACTCATCACTTGTGTATCATGATTAAGACGTGAAAGTAATTTTCCACTTTCATGTGTATCAAAAAAACCAATTTCTTGTTTTAAATATGATTGAAATAATTTTGTACGTAAACGTATACTAAGACGTGCAATACATAGAGAAAAAACTCCCATACGAAATCCACCAAGAAAACCTCTGAAATATTACAAAAAGAAATAATTTTTGATCTTCTTTATTTATTAGATTTTTTTTAGTACCCGGCAAAGTTTACTATAACAAACATAATTAAATTATATTGAAATTGTAACCATGCTTCTTTAAATGCAACACTTGATAGAAGTCTTCCTGTATATAATGGTACGAAAACTTCAGCTAAAATAATTAAAAAAGTTTTTTGTTGTTTTTATCAGATCAATAAATATTGAATAGTATACGTGCATAAAGCTGCGCCTAATAAAAGTATTGTTCCAAATGTAATTATTTTCCAATCAGGTAAACTATATCGAAAAAGACGTTTAAGTACAAGAAGTTCATCTTGACGTTTTGATTTAATATCTATACAAAAAATAAAAAACAATAATTAATTAAATTGTTGAATTTTTTTTTTCGAACAAAATATCGATCTTATAATATATTGTTTAAAACAAGCAATCTCGTATTTCAATACAATAACAAGAAAATGTAAAATTCTTTCTTTCAAGAAAAAAACTCAACAAAGTTTTGATTGAATATCTATAAATTACATATGGTAGCAGCCTTAAGCTGAATCTCTTTTTAAATATATATATGCATTTTCTTGTATGATCATTTCTTAAAGCTTAAAATAGAAGGATTTCTACTTTTAGCATACCATAAAACATATATTCTCAATAGGAAGTGCAGTATCTTCAAGATCCTTTTCGTAGAAAATGAGATTAATTTCCTTTTTCTGTTCCTCATCTCTCACATTCATACTTCCCTGATTCTGTGAAGTGACGTTTACACACCTATGTTATGCGGTTTCGATTATATTATTTTTCATCAATCATGATTTGAAGTTTGATAAGTTATTTTACAATATGTTGAAACAAATTCCAATGGATATTTAAAATCTTTTGATTTTGTTTGAATTTGCACGTAGGTTTTTACCATCGCCGTATCTTACGACAGGCACAACGAAAAGTTATGAAATTTCACCATAAACTATTTTCGTTAAAATCTGCCTCTGTGCAAAATTTGATGGTGAAATTCTAAAATCAGTTCTTCTAAGGTTCCTGAGGGGACCACGGTATTCATTTTGAAAAATATCATAAGTCTGCAGTAATTAGCTAAGTGTCCGAGTTCTTCTCAGATTATTCATTTGCTCAATAAATTCTATATGGTACACATAGTCTAAACTCAAAAATGATTTTGTCAGCTAAAAAAATTCGCTTAAAAGTAACAATTTTTGTTTCTTATTCTAATTGCTGTCTTCGTAAAACTTTATGTCTAATTCTTATCAACTTATTGATAAGTTTCTTCGATTTTAATTTCTCGTTGATACGTTTAAAAATCATTCTTATTACTATCACAATTCAAAATAAAAATATAAATTTTGTTCATGCATATGCACATTAATCTAATAACACTTACATGTAAATGATTGATGTTAGTTTTATTTTAGATTAAGCTGTAAAACAAAAAAGTCAAATTAGGTGTTTAACATTTTCCCTTTATAAAAAAAAAAAAAACTTATACAAATGCTACAAAACAACAATACTAACCACGATCATATGTTGAATGAAATATTTCAAACCAAATATATTGTAGAAAACTAAAATTTTCTTTTTCTATACGTCGAATCCATAAATAAACAAAAAGTGGCATTGAAACTTGTTGAATTATATATAATATTGATTGGAAATTTAATGAAAACTCTATATAATACATAACAAATGCTTGTTCTATAGCTGCAATCATAACAAACATATTTTTAAATGGATTCCAAAATGTTTTTGTTGTATTATAATCAACATTGTTATCATAATTATCATAAATAATTCGATAAAAAAAAGCAATAGATAATCCTAGTATTCGAATAAATACTAACAAAATAAGTACTTTATTTGATGCACTTAAATATAAATCAATTAATATTGTAAATACAATTCCCAAGAAAACAAAATATATTCTACGAGTTATTTCCATCTAAAAATACACTATATGATTATTATTATTATTATTATTAATATTTTAAGAAACTGAATATAAAAAAGATTATTAATGAATAAACTGTGATACACGTAAACGAAGATGCATAGCGTTTAGTATAGAACTTAAACCATTACGTTCAACAGGTTTACCTAAACCAATAAACCAAATAAAAATTGATATACCAATAAGACAAAAAACATTTTTTAAAACAATAAATATTGTTAGTAAATAATCATTTAATAATACATTATTATTAAATGAAAATAATATAAAAATAAGTATAAATAATGCAAGAGCAAAAAATATTCGATCACGTTGTATACGTTGAATTGATTCTTCAACAATAATACAAGCTGAATGAAGATTATTTCGTGTTTCTTCATCAACTATATCAATATCTTCAAGTGGTGTTGATTTTTTTTCTGGAATGCTTTCATCTATTTCCAATAAAGCATAAACAGCTAGATGGTCCGAATAATAAAGTCCATTAGGATTATTTGGAACTTTATGTAATGTTGGATAAGCTTCAATACATTTAACATTATCTAGAATTTCAAAAACAAAATATGAGTAGACAACATTCAATTTTTACTTGACTGCGAATGCGATGCGAAGCTACAAATATCGATTGTCGATCAAATCGATGTTCATTTCTATGGTTTATTATAAAGCACTTTTCTTTAAAAGCTATTTTTGATTTCGATTAATCAGCTAATGAAATTCAAAATCAAAGTGAAAAATAGCCATTCCGAAAAGAGAACTCTATTTATAGGTATGAATATATTTCTAATGAAGACTACTGATTGAAATGTTCATGATCACTCTAATTCATTATCTATTATCAGTTGTATTCATCACTATGTTAGATATGAGCAAAAATCAGTATGAATCTAAATTTGTTGCTGTCATCGTTTTAATTGTCTTGAAATTTGAGAAACAATAAAGTAAACCAAAATTTCCTTTTTTAAATTCAATCTTTTCATTTCCGAAATCATTGCGACCGAAAATGATAACTTTGGATGCGCACGTCTAGCAAGTAAATAAAACAAAGAAGATTTCCGAAGAACTATATTAATTTGGTGCTATATGATCTCAAACTTCGGTAAGAAAGTTTGAACTAGTAACAGAGCAGTAAACTGTTTTACCTAGAGTTGTTTTTGTTCTATCAAAGGTTTTCATTATAGCTCCTGTTCAGAACAGCTGACTTGAAACTATTGCATCACTTTTAATTATCTCAAGTAAAAAATGAAGGTCAAGTTGTCGTTTTGCTTAATTTACTGAAGATGAACAAAAACTCGTATTAAAAATTGAAAATCATTGATATCATCTCGAAACATCAAATTCCCTGACACAGCTCGAATGAGTTTCTAGCAACTAGCCATTCGCTAGATCAATGCTACAGAAAGTACAGATTCTGTTACAGGAAAAAACACTCAACATATGGATATCAAATTCGTACGCGACTGATTACATAAATGTTGTGTTTCGCACCGCATCACATAATAAATTAGAGATCATAACTCACCATTTCGTGCTTGATAAAGTATATAATCAATACGTTCACCTTCGCCTTGATATGGATGTGGATGAACATATGGATTATCAAGTAAATCACATGTTTGACCACTATTACCAACAGTTGGATCAAAAATATCCTAGAAAATAAATATTAATTTATATATTAAATTATTTCTCTTTATTTACTTTATTAATACGTTGAAGAAATGAATCATTGAATTGAAGAATACCTTTAATGAGTTTAAAACCTAAATCATCTTGTCTTAAATTAAGATCACCTAAAAGAATAGTTAAATGTGTTGTATCAGCTGATGATGTACTTTCAATAAATTGTATTAATTCATATGCTTGACATATTCGATGTCCTAAATAAATATCTTTTGGTATAACATGATGATAATTAGCATGTAAATGTGTATTGTATACATTAACAACGTATCCATTAACGAGAATTTTACATAGACCAATTAATTTACCACAAAACCAATCGCCATGTTGAATTTTATGTGGAAAACCTAAATAAAATATTAAAATAAAAAAGTCTATCAAGATGGCATATTATTTTATAGCTATAATTTAAGTGATCAGTATTTAAATAGTGTATATTTAATCACAAAATGATCGGTTTATTATATATAATTAGCAGCAAAAAATTTCAGATTTGTCCAAGGAACTATAGATTTTAAAAGTAGATTTTTTTATTCATACGAAGCAGGGTATAGATATGAGTTCGAATAGATTTTCATTTCATTCGTACTCCCACTCATACACCCTTACTATCGTCATCTTCAGCTTCGACTTTACAAACAGTAACTTTTGTTACTGTCTGCATAATATAGCAGATAAATACTTGCTGTATATTATAGTCCATGATGCTTGACTCTGTTTCATCTAGTGTACTGTATCGTGATGAACTATTTTCGAGCTATATGAAATTCGTTCAGCTTTCTTGCTGATATAAACAAACTGTCAAACTTGAATTCGCCATGTTCCATAAATGAAAAAGAATCATATAATAGTCTTCATAATCAGCAGTTATTGCGATTAGACGATCACGAAAGGATTTTCTGAACAACGCTACATAATAAATTTACTATTAATGAGTCACTTTGTAACAGTAGAAAAACTGAACGAAATTCATAACATTTGAAAAAATCATAAACTTGTTATACATACTTAAAATCCAAAAATAGTCAATCATGATGCAGTATAGTAGTCGCATTCGTAAGTAACTGTTCTTTTATTCTTCCTATAGTTCGTAGTATATTTTGCCAGTTCATTTCAAATTGATGCTTCTGTTTCATCAACATTATTAAATGTAACTTCTTCAACCAAATATTTGAATTTCTTTTTTTTGGCAAAGTCTTTGGTTTCCAAAGACTCTTCATCTGATACATCGCTCTCATATTGAGGATTTTGTGACATGCCCATCTTTTCTCATTCATGAATTCTAACCTGCAGTCAGAGGAAAGAATAGAAGCAAAAAATATCTGCATCTCTGTCGTACATTGCATATGTATTTTATAGGACAAGAAACCAAAGAAAAGAAGAAAAAAGAAAGTGAATCATACAATAACGCATTTCAATTTTTATATTTCTGCATTGATTTAATTGGCTGTTATTAATTTTATTTACTGATCAAATATTGAATTTCATTACTTTAATAAAATCATCATAGGAGAAATGAATTTTTTTCTCGTTCGTCATTAAAAGCTATTTTGATTTTCAATCATCAATGAATTTAGTAGAAATTTTATGAAGCATGATCATAATATACTCTTGAGAGATATAGGAAATAAATTTAATCAATAATAGATAACTCAATATAAAATATGTTATTTGTTCGAAATTACTCAGAAGATCACCACACTATAGATAATCTCTTGTAATCATTTTGCAATTCTTACTATTATGTTTCTTTTTTAAAATAGGAAATCTTGAGATGATCTTCTTTCACTATCTAAAATTAAACAACAAATGAATAAAGCTATAAGATATCAAAATAGTCTAGAATTTCAACTAATAGAAAAGAAAAAAGAACAAGAAATTTTATTTTCGTAGAACTATTTTCTTATATCTTCCAACAAAATTACTGTTTATTCTACAGTTCTGAGCAAAAGCAGTTGCCACCCATGAATTGAATTCATATTTCGGATGCATGCGTGCTACAATAAACCTTGATCTCAATGCGCCAACTTCCCCCCCTCCTCCCCGTTTCATCGTTTCATATTTACTGAAGTTATCATACCGACATCGTTTTTTCCTTATGGAAACCATATTAAGCGGAAATATACGCTCAAAAACTAATTGTTTATCCTTCTGCTATTTCATAAGTTATTACGGTTTCTTTTTCCTAGCGTTGAAAGTAGTCCCATACGTTTACTTTATTATCATCAAAGCTCTTGGCGCATAGTCAAGGTCTTAGTAATTAGCACTACGTACGAGAGCAAGCTCATGCCGTAACATTAACTCGACTTCATTCAGTTCTGTGGCTCTAAACATTTTAGAAAAAACTTGTAGTCTCATGACAATTTACAAATGAATTGATCAAAGTTACCGCAGAAAAGATTCATATTACTAAAAAACTAGCATTTGATTTTTAATAGACATTCTTAATGATAAGATAATACATCAGTGGTTTTTCAAATAAGAGATTCGACGAAAATATTTGATTGGTATAAGGTGATTACAAGAGTACGAGGTTAATGTCTGAATTATAACTTCAGTACATGTGAATCATAGAAGGTGATTTAATGTTTGCGATGAGATTATATTATCGCACGAATGCATCCAAAATATCAACTCAAGATTGTAAAGAATAGTAGCACTTCCTAGAGAGAGACAGATACTTCTGTTAAGGACTGTACATACCATTTAATGTATATCGATGTTCATAAGCACCAATAATTGGATATTTGGAAAAAATACAACATCCTGAACCAATAAGACCACTCAAAAAATAATAACTATATGGATATAGAGTTTTTAATTGATCACGCAAATAAATATAATCTACTTTACTCCAAACCTATACATAATAAAAAAAAATCAATTCCTTAGTTTAGCATTTCTTTTTTTTTTTTACTTCTTGTAATCCGACAATATCATAATTCGTATCAGGATTTATTAAATGTTCAATTAATGCTTGAATACGTTGATTAATAAATTTCGAAATATAATGAACACCCCAGATATTAAGTGTAAGAATACGTAATTGCATATTTAGCCTTGTTCCCTATGATTTCTTTTTGTTTCTCTAGAATATGAAAAAAAGAAACAAACATCTTTTTTTTAACGGTTGACTAGTTTTTCTTATTCTGTTCGTAAGTTATATAACCTTTGAGTACGTTTTTTATGACTCTTTTGAGTTCGAATTTATTGAAATCAAAAAAAAAATGAACAAACATAAAAGAACAACAAGAAGAAAAAAATAATAATAATAAATGTTTCTTTTTTAACTAGAATTGTTATTTGTT